GCTTGGTCTGGGCCTTCCTGCTTCTCTGCACCATGTTCCCTTCATTCTTAAGGCTCCATCAACACTGGCTGTGCTCATCACAGGGCCTTTGCACATGCTGTTTTCTCCACCTGGAATCCTACACCTTTACCCTGACTACTCCTCCAGATCTTAATTCCAAAACTGCCTTTTTAGTGATGCCTTCCTTGGTTTCCTGAACTGGGTTGGATTCTTTATTACTCATTTTCCTAAAGCCATATACTTAGCTATTTACAGTTTGTCATAGCTGTAATTATATATTTGTTTGTGACACCATTTAGTCATCAATAGAGCTCCATTAGGGTAAGAACCACATCAAGTTTTGCCCACTTAAAAAAAAAAATCTCCAAGCTCAGTGGCATGTGCCTTTAATCCTAGCACTCGGGAAGCAGAAGCGGGTGGATCTCTATGAGATCAAGGCCAGCCTGGTCTACATAGCAAGCTCTAGGTCAGCTGAGGCCACAGGGAGACCCTGTCTCAAAAAGACAAAAAAAAATAAAATTCCCTAGGGCCAGCAAGATGGCTCAGTGGGTAAAGTGCTTGCCACAACTAAATTTAATTCCTGGAACCCTTACAAAGGTGGAAGGAGAGAAATGACTCCCAGAAGTTGTCCCCTGACTTCCTCACGTCTACACGTGTATTGTGGCAGATGTGCTTATGGATCTGACACACACACACAAACACACACACACACACACTAAAAAATCTCCAGCAACAAGAAAAATTATTTTAATTTTGTTATTTTTGGATTATGTATATGTGTGCCTGTGTGTGGGTATGTGCACATTAGTACAGGTGCCCATGGATGCCAGAGGTATCAGACTCCCCCTGGAGTTGGAGTTACAGGAGGTTTTGAGCTTCCCAATGTGGGTGCTGGGAACTGAACTGATACTCTTAATCTTTGAGCCATCTTTTTGCCTCCCTAAAAAATTATTAAAGTGAAAAAGGTAAGTCATATCTGTATTTGACACATAATGTTCAATAGCTGTTTATTTTAATTTTTTAAAAATTTTATGTGTATGAGTGTATTGCCTACATGTGTGTAAGTGCACCCATGTTGTGCAGTGCCCTCAGAGGTCAGAAGAGGGTGTCAGATTCCCCTGGAATCGGAGTTACAGACAGTTGTTAGCCATCATGTGGGTGCTAGGAATTGATCCCAGGTCCTCTGCAAGAGCAGCCAGTGCTCTTAACCCCTGAGCCATCTCTCCAGCCCACTTTTAAAATGTTTCATTATGTCTATTTATTTATTTGGGTGGAGATCAGGAGACAACTTCTGGGGATAGATTTTCTTTTTTCACCATTTGGATTCTGGGGACTTAATTTAGGTCATCAGGATTGGCAGCAAGTGCTTTTACCCACTGAACCATCTTTCTGGTCATCTCTTTTTTCTTTTCCAAAGGTGTGTGGTGTATGTGTGTGTGTGTGTGCACATGCCACAAGACAACCTTGGTTTATCATCCTCAGGAAAGCTGTCTACCTCCTTTGAGACAGGGTCTCTTATTGGCCTGAATCTCACTAATCAGGGTAGGCTGACTAGCCAAGGAATCCCAGGGATGCTCTTGGCTCTGTGGTCACAGCACTGAGATTGCAAACCTATGCCAAACTTTTTAAGAGAGTGCTGGGGATCCAAATTCAGGGCCTCATGTTGCAGTGCTTTATTGACTGAGCCATTTCCCCAGCCCTACAGCAACTGCTTCTTGAATGATGACATACATTTGGTAGCCACTTCTTTCTCTTCCTCTTTCTCTCCCACGGCTAGGCCTCTACCATTTCTTGTCTGAACCTTGGCAATGACTGGTCTTCTAGTGTATAATTGAGCCCTTCTCAATTCATTTCCTACTCAGAAGTCAGAATGCTCTGATGAATCTGTACATGCCACCATCCCTACCCACTGTTTAACAGCCTTTAGTGGCTCCCCTGGGCCCTGAGAATAAAACCCAAGCTCCTGACCACAGCCTTACAAGGCCTTGTCTGCTGTGGCTCCCCTCATGCTAAGCTCTACCTCAATGAACCTTTCTTAATTCAATAAATTGTGAGTGCCTGTTCTGCCAGGCACTGAGTACTGTTTTCAGGAGTAAAACCCAGACTCCTTCATACTTGCTTCCAGTCCTGTGGATAATGGGACACAGCTCGTTTCCACACGGCCCTTTCTCATCTGAAAAGTGCTCCTCTCTCCTTTCTACCCTCTTGGCCTTGCCCAGTGAACACCTACTGACCTACCAAGCCTCAGGTGAACGTTTACTTAGGGGTAGCTTATCCCACCAGAGCCTGGCTCCCACCCCTGCTGCTCCCTGTTCTCCATCAGTGTTGACCACGTGCTCTGTTTTCACATTTGTTTGTGTGGTTGTTTAATGCCCATCTTCCCCTTCAGGAAACTCAGAAGCTTCTGGGCCTGGTTTCTGCTTACCACTGTATCCCTCTGGCACTTAGCGGGTGCTCCACATATTGATTGAACAAATAAGTAAATGCTTTCCCAAGAGTATTTAGAGGGTACTGCCTTTCAGGGAGATGCTGACACCTCTACCTCAGTGTGACTCCTAGCTGGTGGCTGAGTTGGGGCGCTGAGATGGGTATGTGAAAGAAATTCCACTGTGGCCCAAGGTGGTCCACCCCTCCCTGGCATCCCCATTCATGCATGCCTGTGACTTGCCCCCTGTCCTTTCCAGCCCCTCTAGAGCACTGTTCATAGTACCCCAGCAATTTAGCTCCTGCAGGTTTCCAGCCTCTCACATGCTGACTCCCAGCTGTGACTCTCCTTGCTTCTATTCACTACCCTTCCTACATTTTTCAGGTCACGTTTCAAGGTTGCTTCTTATTTGGGTGTTAGGGAGCATGCATGCCATGGTGTTTGTGTCGTTAGAGTACAAATTGTGGGAGTCAGTTCTCTCCTTTCACTATGTGGGTTCTAGGGATTGAACTGAGGTTATCAGCCTTGGAGTTGAACTGAGGTTGTCAGGCTTGGGAGGCAAGTGCTTTTATCTACTGAGCTATCTCATCAGCCCTTAAATTGCCCCCGCCCCCGGGGAGACAGGGTCTCCTTGTTAACCCCAGCTGACCTGGAACTTGCTAGGTAGACCAGGCTGACCTGGAAGTCAGAGATCTGCCTGCCTCTGTCTCCCAAGTGCTGGGATTAAAGGTGTGCGTCACCACCCTTGGCTAAATATTGCTTTTTTACAGAACATTTTCCATGATTATGTCTACCCATTACAGCACATCCTTTCACCAAGTTCATTTCTTTGACTCTCCCTTCTCCTGAGACAGAGTCTTGCTAGGCAGGCCATGGCAACATTGAACTTTCAATCCTCTTTCCACAGCTTCCTAAGTGCTAGGATTATAGGCTATGCCAACATGTCCAGCTCTCATTTCTTTGTGTCTCAACAGGGAAATGCATTGTTGTATTTGTTTATTGTATTCGTTTCCAGATGAGTTAGAAGCTTTGGGCCACATATAACAGAAATTCCAACTTGCCCTGACTTAAGCAAGAAGAGAAGTAGTCTGAAGATAGGTTTTGCTTTTTCAAAAAATTTTTTTCTTCTATTTATTACTGTGTGTGACTGTGCATGATATTTGAGTGTGGGCATGTAAAGATCAGAGGACAACTTTGTAGAGTCAGTTCTCTCTCTCAGGCTTGTGTGGCAAGCACCTTTACCCACTGAACCGTTTCATTGGCCCAAGATAGGCCTGTTTCATGGTTGGTTAATTCAGCTCATTTTAGGGTTGGTTAATTCAGTATGTTCTCAAGGAGCTAAGATTTATGGGTCTGTAGCTCAGTGGTAGAGCACTTGAGTAGCACACATGGGGCCCTAGGTCTAATCTCCAGTACTACAAAAAACAAAAAAGCAGACCAAGCATTCAAAGACCTAGGTCCTTCACATTTCGATGCTCTGTCCTCCTGGATGTTGGCTTTGTTCTCAAGTTGGTTAGCAGGACGGACAATGCAGCACACAGTGGGACTTCACATCATATAGGTTTTTTTTCTCCTCATTTATGTGCATCAATCCACTATTACAGTGTGACAGATAAGCACAAAACCTAGCAATTTAAAGCATTATCTACAGTAACTGAAAATTAAAATCTCAGGAGTGGCTAAACTGATTTGTTCCAGCTCTGAGTGTCCCATGAGGTGATGGTCACACTGTCAGCCACCCTGAAGTCACCTGAAGGCTCAACTGGGACTGGAGAATCTGCTTCCAAGCCCACTGGCACAGCTACTGGCAGGCTTGTTTCTGTGTACATGGGCCTCTTATAAGGGTGTTCATAACCCAGCCACTGCCTTCCTCCGACACAAGTGATCAAAGAACAAGACAGAGGCTTGATCTGAGTGACACCATCCTTTTTGCCCAACTCTGGCATAATAGGGATCAGATCATAGAAAAGTATGACAACTAGGTGATTTTGGGAGGTAATCTTAGGGGCTATCTGCCACACAGTGTTTCTTTTAAAAAGTGAAGTAGCCTTTCCCTGAAGCTGCCAGGAAGCTTCTCTTCAATCTGCTGTGTCATATGCACATGCCTAAGCCAACCACTCATGAGGAATTGTGGACCACGGCTTTTTGGCCCATCGAAATTGTGATTTGCTGCCCTCAGGCTAGGATCCATCTCTGTTGAAGCACAGGGCGGTGCTGGGAGAAACCTGGTTACCTGGAGAGATCAGGGTTCCATCTAGAATGAGGAATGGGCAACAGCCCAGTATCTATGATGCTCACAGCTTGAATAGAAACTCCACAAGTACAGAGGCTTACATCTTTGCCTACTACTACATCCAAGTGTGCATTCACTCCGTGCCTGTATAGGTAGGTGTGGTAATAGTTGTTGAAGGAATAAATGAATGAATTCATGACTAAACTGGAAGACCACAGAGCAGGAAGTCCAGGACCAGTACCACCAGGTGGGGTTAGAGATCTCCTAGCCCTAAGCCCTTAAGTTCTTAGAACTCAGGTCACCTGTTCCCACCTTCACCCCCAGCTCCAAGGACACACAGGATTGGCAGAATTATTCTCACTTTATTTCTGGAGAAGTTTGATCAGATGCAATAACACTGATTCCAGGTGAGGGCAGGGGGCATTATCCCCAAAGCAACCAGTATCCTATGGCCCAAGGTGCCCCCTATTCCCAGACCTGGGGTCCCCCTCAGTTACAGTTAAATAGAGGAAGATCATCCCAGGGAGCCTTGGGAGGAGGGTCTGCCTCCTGCACCTGCCCCCTCCACACAGAGGCATCTGAGCACAAGCTATTTACAGTATTCACATCCACTGTACCCCACCAAACCAAGGCAAATACTACATGGTCCTTCCCCAGAGTGGGGGAGGCCAGAGAGGCTATGAGTGTATGTGTGTATGGGGGAGATGTGTGTTCGCGCGTGTGAGCACACGAATGCACTGAGGGGCAGTGCCTGGCTCCAGCCAAAGACACATAAGTCTATAAGGTGCAGATTAAAAACATCAGAGAAGACCCACCCCCTGGAACCCAGGCCACTTCCATTTTTGTTCTGTCTCTTTCTCTTCCAGACACCTGGGAGATGATACAGAGAAATCTTCATAGCTGTGCCTGGGTCCAAGGCAATCATTTAAAGGACTTCTGAGGGAAAAAAGAGGGGCAAAAGTCAGGGCTGGGGAATCCAAGGTACAGATGAGTGGGATTTAGCTAAGCCCAAGAGCCAGGGTCCCTACAGTCTCTACCTGTGACCTGTGGGGGCTGCACCACGGCTTTCTTGAGGAAGGCTTCTGCCTCTGCAAAGGGGAGGAGTGTGTCTGGTGTTCGGCCCAGACTCTTGTCCCCAGAGGTTCCCTTTGGGGAGAAGCCATTCTCCTGGTGTGCTGGGAGAGGCTGCAGGCCATTCACCAGGGACCCTGGCATCTCCTTGTTTGGCAGGCTATGGATGCAGGAGCCCAGAGTTAGCACCTCATCTCCCAGGAAGACAAGGCAGTCCACAGTTCCAGTCTGCAGCTGCCTGCCTGGCTCAGGGTCCCTGGGGTCAGAAGCTTTTACCTCCACTGCGGTTCCTGGGAGGCCAGCTCCTCTTTCTGCACAACCTCCTTCTGCAGTCCAGAGGGCAGAGTACCTACAGCTTTCACAGGGTCTATCACCAGGAAGGAATGGCCATCAGTTATGGGTGGGACTGGAGTCAGGGGTGTCCAAGGGGAAGGAGCTGAAGGGAGTAGAGGCTGTACCTGGGCTGGAATTGTTGGCTGTGGCCTCCTTTCCATCTTGCTTCTGCTGTGAAGAGGAAGAGGAAGACCAGTCCAGCTACGGACTCACTCTACCCCTGTACTGAACTCTTCTCCTCTCAGCCCAGACAGATCCACTCCACCCCCACCCGCTTCTTCCTTGGCTCTGGAGGCTTTTCTGCATCCTCCTTTCCTTAACCTGACTCCCAGTCCCAACCCGAGAATCCTGACCTTGGTTTCAGCAATTTCAGACTTCCGAGTCCTCTTCATTATCTCCTCCAGCCGCTGTTTGGAGGCCCCCACATTAGTTAGGTCCAAGCTTGGGCCTAATCCTCAACCTCCCAGTAGCTGGCCCAGAGCTCTGCGCCCTCGCAGGCCACACTGGCCCTTTCCAGGCCAGGACCCAGAACCTGCGCCAGCCCCTTGTCCTGTTTTCTACAAACCCAGGCTGGGCCCACGGGTTCTGCACCTTCAGTCTGGAGAACTGGACTGCGGCCCCGCCCCCGCTCCGCCCCCACAAGCCCCGCCTTTCGTCCTGTCTACCTTTCTGCGCTCCTGTCGCTCCTGCTCCTCGCGCTGGAAATGCTTTTCCCTCTCCAAACGCTGGCGCTCGGCTTCTTCCCGCGACCGAGCTTCAGCCTCCTCTTTCTGCAAAGACCTCCGTGAGCTCGGGGCTCCGAGCTTCAGCCGTCCCTCCGCTAGACACGCCCCCGGCCGGCCAAGACCTGCCCACCCGCCCAGGCACCTGCTTCTGCAGCCGCTCCTGCTCCTCCTGCTCCGCCTGCGCCTTCTCCCGAGCCTCCTGCTCCTCCCGCCTGCGAGCCTCGGCCTCCCGTTCAGCCCGCGCCTCGGCCTCCCGTGCCAGCTGTTCCTCCCGCATTCGCCTGGAGACCCAGGAAACTCAAGGTTGGTCTGTGCTTCTTCAGCCGCTGCTGGGGCCCCCTCGGTTCCCCCCCCAACCCCCCCGGCACACTCACTTGTCCCTTTCGGCCTGCAGTTTCCGCTCCTGTTCCTCTCGCTCCCGCTGTTCCCGGGCCTGGCGCCGCTTTTCAGACAGGAGCCTGGTGGCTTCTTCCCGGTCTGTGGTGCCCGCCATGGGTTTGCTGGGGGTCACCGGGGGAGCAGCGGCAGGGGGTGCGGTCAGGACAGGAGCGTCTGCAGGAAGATCCCAGATCAGGGTCAGCACACAAAGTACATGCACCTCCGTAACTCCTGTCCACCCTGTGGACCCTGGACCTCAGTGATCCACTCACTCAATTTCTACCATCACTGAGTCCTGGCCCTGCTATAGGCCGGAGATCTCTCATTCTGTCCCTCAACAGCAGTATCCAATCATCTCTGCTGGTCCACATCCCTGTGCGCCTCCCCAACACAAAGCTGGTCTCTCTGCCCACCCTTTCTTCTTGTGCACCTGCAGGGGTATCTGTTGTGGGCTGCTCCTTCTGAGGCTGGGCTGGGGTGGGTGAGGGCACTGGGGAGGGTGCTGGTGAGGCTGGGACCGCTGGCTCCTTCTCCTCACTGGTTCTGCTCTTGCTCCGGTTCTTGTCCTCAGACCCTGCCGGGCTGGGGCTCTCCTTCATCTCCTCCTTCCTCCGAACCCTCCCCTTGGGTGATGCAGTGGTGCCTCGGGGGGATGGTGGCTTTGGCGGCAGGGCATGGCCTGGCCCTGGGCTGAGGCAGGGGGAAGCAGGTCTGTGCCAGGTTGTGGAGGGAGAGGATGGCCGGGCCTTGGACTTGGAGCTAAGAGAGAAGAAAAGGGTTAGAATATGAGGGCAGGGCACTGGGGCAGGCAACTCCTTCCCCCACCACATGTCACTTCTTCCATGGAAGGGTTCCCTCTTTTTTTGAGACAGGGTCTAACTAGTTAAAGAAAAAAAAAAAAAAACCACTTTGTTATTGTGTGTGTATGATGGGGTTGAAGGGGGTGGGGCTGTGGAAGTCAGATGACAGCTGTATGAAGTTGGTTCTCTCCTTCCACCTTTACATGGATTCCAGGGATCAAACTAAGGTCATCATGTTTGCACAGAGAGCATCTTTACTTACTGAGCCATTCCACAGGCCTCCAAGGGTTACCTGGCAGGCTGGGTCAGCATTCTCATCTAGTCACTCGCAAATAACATCATTTCCTCGTAGTGAATATTTGTCAGTTTGCAACTACATATTCATTTCTCAGAGTTTTTAAATTATTTTTTATTAATACCGTCCTCCCCAATAGCATGTAAACTTTTTGGATTTCTCTTTTTTTTTCTTTTTGTCATTTATTTTTGCTTTTATAATTTAGCATGTACACTTAATAAGAGCAAAAACTAGGCCTGGTTTAGCTAACCAACATGTCCTCAGCACCCAGAATACCACCTGGCAAGTTATTTACTCATTCAGTGATCAAGTATGTATTGAGTTGTTTATCAGGTATTATTAGTTTAGGAGCTGGGGGAGGGAGAGACTTCCATAATTGAAAAATAAAAGAAAAAAGAGGAAAGACGAAGGAAAGAAAGAAAAAGTGAAAAGTTCAGGGCATGTAGTGCACACCTGTAATCCCAGTACTGGGGAGGCTGAGACAGGAATATTTCCAGGATTTTGTGGCCAGCCTGGGCTACAAAGTGAGTTCAAGACCATCTTGGGCTCCATAGGGAGTCCCTGCCTCAAAAATAATAAAAACAAAGGCTGGAGATGTAGTTCAGTTGGTAGAGTGCTTGCCTAGCACACACAAAGCTCTGGGTTCCATCCATCCCCAGCACCCCATAAACTAGATGTGGCTGAGGCCTGTAATTGCAGCACCTGGGAGGGAGAGGCAGAAGGATCAGAAGTTCAAGGTTCATCCTTGTCTATATAATTATCAAGCCTGGGAGGCATGATCTCCTGCCTCAAAAAAAGGGGGAGTTGGAACAAGAAAATAACTCAATAGGTAAAGGCACCTGCAGCCAACCTTGATGACCTTAGTTCAAGCCTCAGAATTCATGGTGGAAGAAGAGATCTGATTCCCAAGAGTTGTTCTCTCACCTCCACATGCATACCCACACCCATACCAAATAAAGATTGTAACAACAACAACAACAACAAAAGGCATGGTGGCACCCGCCTTTAGTTCCAGCACTCAGGAGGTAGAGATAGGAGGCTATCTGAGTTAAGGCCAGCCTGTTCTACATAATGAGTTCCAGGCCAGTTTCATACTGACACTCTCAAAGAACAAACCACAGCATAAAAAGCAAAACAACAAAGCACACAGATACCACGCCCAAGGCTCAAAGAGAAGGAAGGTATGTGGTACAGGTCTGTTTCATCCTTGCTACTTTGGGAAACTGATTCAGGAGGATCACAGGTTCAAGGCTGAACAACTTAGACTGTCTTAAAATAAAAAATACAAAGCAGACTGACTATACAGGGGGCTTGCCTAGCATGCAGGAAGCCTTGGGTTCCAGCCTCAGTACTGGGCACCAGAGAGAGAAACTCAGGCCTGGTCGGTGTATATAGTGAGACTCTCAAAATACAAAACAAGCGGGGGGAAAGGAGCAGCTGCCCTCAAGGATCTTTCATCCTAGACTCAGTACCCAGTAGGGTCTGTAAATGGCAGGTGAGGTGCGGAGCCCCGCCCACCTGAGCTCCGAGGCGGCACTGGTGGAGAGGCGCGGTCGCACGGACGGGGGCAGAGACTGGCGCTTCTTGAGGCTGCGCTCGCGGGCTAGGGCACTCTTCTCCTTCTCGTTCTCCCGCTCCTTGTCCTTCTTCTCTTTCTTCTGCACCTACAGGCAAGGGGTGGGATCGAGGAAGAGCATAAGTCAATGGCGCCCGCGCTCCTGCCCGAGGCACCTAACCCCACCTGCGCTGCTGCAGCCACTCACCGGCGAGACTTCGGGCCGGCGGCGCGCCAAAGCCGGGCTACCGCCGGCGCTCGGCTTGCGCCGCTCCGCACGCTCCCCGGAGGGGGGGGTGCAGCGGTGCGCGCTGCGAGGGGCGCTGCAAGGCGTCAGGGGGCTGGCGGAGGCCGAGCGCGGGCACACGGGCACGGCTGCGGAGGGATGAGTGCGGTCGGAGTGCGGCCCAGGCGCTAGGCTGGCCCCTGCCCGGCCCCTCGTGGGGCGTCTCCCAGGGCCGCTGCCCCTACCCTGGTCCCGGCCATTGCGGGGCAGTGTGACCGCACTGCGACTCCGAGCCAGGAAGGAGAGGGTGGGCGTCATCAGACGATCCACAATGCTGCTCTCCCAGGCGCTCAGCTGCAGGCTGCGATCTGCGGGGAGAGCACCAGGCAGAGCAGGTCAAGGCAGGCAGAGGTACAGGTGGAAACCAGGTATTGACCCTATGGTGAGCCCAAGGATTCTCAGGACTGTCCCCCAGAAGTCACGCGGGGTCACACTTATTTCTCCGAGATCTGAGCCTCCATTTGCAGACACCGGTAAGAACACATTGACCAGGGGGCAGGGAATATCTCAGTGTTTGAGTGCTTGGCTATCCTGCAAGAAGCCCTAGGTTCAATTCCTGATACTAAGGGAGAAAAAAATCCCGAACTACCTGCAACACTTTAAAAGCTCCTCCTAGCTGGCCCAGCACTCTGGAGGCAGAGGCAGGTGGATCTCTTGAGAGTTCAAGGCCAGCCTGATCTACATAGTGAGTTCCAGGCTGACTGGGGCTTCTGGGAGAAGCCTGTATGAATCCTGTCTCAAAAAGACCAAAAAAATAAAAGCTCCTCCTACCAGTGAGGGTTCGCAAGGAAGGTGAGCAAAGGAAGGAGCCATGACAGGATTGGAGGAAGACCTAACTGCCCTCTCCCAGGTCCCAAGTAAGGCCTGCCTCTCCTGTTGTCATAGTGCTGGCCCAGGAGAGGCATGTTCCCAGGATTTGGGACAGTGAGGGTCCTTGAGCTCCTCCAGCCCAGCCTTTAGGAGTCCTATGCGAGTGAGGCTGCCTAGGCCACCATGCTCTGTCCCTTCAGCTGCTGGGTTATTTTTGCGCTTCAGTCAGGTGGGGTTGGTGCAGCAGCTGATTTGGTTGCTAGGCAACAGAGCAACCAAATAAAAGCTAGAGAAACTTATAAATAACTCCAACCATAGCTCTTTCATATATGTAAGCACCAGGGTATGGTGGGAACGCAGAGGTTGTCACCCTGGTTGGTCCCAACTTTGAACCAAACTAAGGCCATGACAGGGGATCTGAAGGCAGAGAGTGCAGGGTTGCATGGCCCTCTAGGATGGAACCAGAACACTTCACTCCAGTACCCAGGCCCATCTGACACATGGGGGCAAGGCCACCTGTCAAGGTTTGGCCCAGGCCAGCTGGCTGTGGTTGAGATAAGGCTGCTTGCCCATTACCACCCCCAGCCCCTACCCCCAACTTGCTTAATGCCCTTGCCAGGCTTTCTGCCCTCTGGGCCATTGTCCTCTGTCTCTGTTCTCTCCTGCAGGGCACAATTATGTTCTCAAGGTCCAGACCCAAATGCCGGCTCCCCCAAAAGGGCACAGAGCCCCGGGTGGGGTAGAGTGGGGATGGGGACCTGAGGTATGTGAGGGCTCCAGGGATGGGTGTTCTTGCTGAGCTCTGAAGGAGGCTTGTGGGACTACAAGGGGCTCTGGAGGGGGAAGGCTGAGCCTTCTCTTACTTCTACTGGGGGAGTTCCAGAGCGTGGCAGAGGACTTTGAGAGCCGCTTGTTGATTATAGAGTCCACGTGTTTGGGCAGGTTTACTGCCGACACGGAGCACCTGCTCCCACCTGGAGGGGAAAAGATACGGACGGCATTAGGGCCGGGCCAGACGGGAGCCAGGGGGGGCACTGAGGCCTTCCATGCAGGATGCTCCGAGGGCAGGGTGGGAAAGGGAGGAGTGGGCAGGCTAGGATGGGGAAGAGGAGGCCGATTTGGCCCTGGGAGAGGATGGGAAGAGGGAGGTGATCAGAAACAACCCGGATTGGGGGAGCCGACGGAGGAGGAACAGAGGGAAAGATGGTGGAAAACTAGAGAAACTATAGCCTTCCTGGCCAGATGGAAGGAAGCCATTGCCTAGGGCTGGGTGCTACAACCCCTCCCCACAACTACCCTGCATTGGCACTTGCTAACAGTGCCCAGCCAAGGCACTGTGGATATAACACCTACATACTGGGACAATGCAAAGACATTTCTAAACCTAAGACCAACCCAAACAGTTCATAGTCACTTGCACAAATCCACATACCCACATATTCATCCAGACATACAAAGACATGCAAACACAGGCATATACTATTGCATGCACGTGTGTGCAGACATGCACAGACAGAAACACAAGATGCACACAAGCACAAACATATTGAAGCAACCTAACCATGATATTTATGATAGCTTACCACGGGCCAGGCACTGTGCTGGACACCACACACTCGTTACCTCACTTGATCCTCCAAACATCTATCTACACCCTCGGAGGCAAGTAGTGCTATTATCTCCATTTTACAGATGAAGGCAGTGAGATGTAAAAAGTTAAAGGTCATACCACAAGTGCCAGAGCTCGAACCCGTCTGACTTAGGAGCCCTCACTGAGGTACACAAAGCACAAACACTTGATCACATAGTAAGCTACACAACACAGATCTATGAACACATACACCAGGAGATACACAGCTAGAAAAAGGAACCTTGTCATTACACAGACATCCAAATATAGTGGTACATCCATGCCAGCAAAGAATCAGACCAAAACTCCATGATGTGCCTATGTAAAGAGAGCTCAAGACAAAAATCTACCTTCCAAGACAGGGGCGACAATTTTCTTTAAATATCCAGGGTCTGCAAGGCATTAAAGTCCTCTTTTTATATATCATCAACTAATAGTAATTGACAGGCAAAAAGAAGGCTACTCCTAAAATGATAGAGGTTTGAAGAGCAAATTGAGTCCAGAGAATCCATCTCTGATTTGGTTGTACAAGTCCTTGGGGGAGGAATGATTTGGTTTACAGACCATTCCAGAAGATACAAGTCACATGAAGCAAGACATATCTGCTGCAGGGAATGGTGAGCACCTTATATATAAAATGTTCACTTTTCCACCTTATCACTCCCCAGCCCTGCCCACCCACCCGCCCTTCCAGCCCACTCACTGGTCTTATGTCCTGGAGAGCTGTGGTGCAGGGCCCCTGCCCAAGACCAGCGCTGCTGTCGGATTTCAGCCCATGTCTTCTTCACTGACCGCTGGATGGCTGCTTCATAGCGCTCCTGGGGGTAGGTGGGGAGAAGGAAGAGGTGGACTCAGAATCAGGCACCATACCTGGTAAATTGTCCTCCCCCTGCCACAGCCCCCTCCTAAACTCTTCCTGACTCACTACAGGTAACCGAAGTTACTGATTCTCTGCTGTGATTCAGGCCTATGTGGGATAGATCCCTTTCTACTGATCTTGGAGAGCTTTTCACTGGGCTTGAGTCACTTCCTGGGTGTATTAGCTGCTTCTCTAAGGATGGGTGGGACTCCCCCTGCCTGAGGTCCTAGGCAGGGTCATATCTCTCCAGCACTAAGGGTCAAAATCTTGAGGTTTTATTTTCCCTTTAGGGTTTTGTTTTCCCTTTAGGCCAAGGCCGCTAGACAGGGTCAGGCCCGTCGTGTCCTTCACCTCATCAGTGCTCAAGCTGGCTCTACCCACGTGATGGAACTAGGGACATTCACAGACACTTGGGCCAGTCACAGAAACTGTATATTGTGGCACATGTGGGAGCAAATGCACCTGCAGACACTGTCATATGGACACAGTTGCAGATGTGAACACAGATGGGACTGCCACAGAGCACATGGAGGTGTGAGTCTGGATGTATGTATGTATGCAGTTCACAAACACACAGATGTGTGGGCACATACATATGCAGATATGCGGATCTATGTGAACCCAGTCAGTATCACAGACGCACCTTGTTTTTCTCAAGCTTCTGTCGCTGCCGCTCCTCCAGGGCTGCGCGGCGCTGCTCAGCTTTAAGCCGCTGTTCCTCCAGCCGCCGCCGGCGTTCTTGGAGCTGCTTTTCCCGGAGGGCCTTGGCCTTCTCCTCCTTCTCCAGCCACACTGCCTTCTTGGCCGCTAAGGGGGGATGAGAGGGCATGACCTGAGGTAGGCCCGTGCCTGGAGCACCTCCCAGCAGTCTCTTTGCTACCTCAGCCCTGTTACCCCTTCTCTGCCTGCCTCTGTGGAGCCTCCACTCTTGACGTTCCAGGGCTTCCTGAAGACAGGCCTAGTCAGGCCTATTTCCCAATTGACTCACATATCTCAGGCCTAAGGACAAATGAGTTCTTTGTTGTGAGATACCGCCCCTTCTCATGATTTGGGGCATACTGGACAAATTGACATGTAGTGGTATGGCGTCTGAATCTGGGGTGAGATGCAGGGTTTTGGCGTAATCTTAGCTACCCACAAAGCTCTTCGGCACGTGATGTCAGCTCTCCCAACCTATTTCCTCCTCAAAACATGCTACGAGGATTAAAATAGCTCATGTGGTACTCTTAGCACAGCACACACACACTATTCTAGAAGAGTCTGCACTATTTAGTCATAGGAGGCTGCTGGCGATGATGTTGATAAAGATAATGCTACTCACTCACCCAGGTACTTGGCCCGTTCTTCTCGTCGCTCTTTGGCAAGTTTGTGCCTCTCCCCTGCCTTCTTTACATCTGCTGAGCAGAGAGAAGATGCACAGATGGTCAAAGGTCTCCCCAGGGCCAGGTGTGGTGGTGCACACCTTTAATCAGCATTGGGAGGGAGGCAAAGGCAGGTGATCTCTGAGTTTGAGCCAGCCTGGTCTAAACAGTGAGATTTTGTCTTCAAGAAGTCTCCTCAAGGAACAGCCAGACTGAGGCTTTCCCTCCAGCCTCAGCCTCAGTCCTACCCTCATCTCCTCCAGGGTAAAGACACTATGTGGCACCACCCCCAGCCCAACACTGGGGACATTACACATACCTTGCTTTGTGGGAGGGCTGTCAGAGGCTGGTGTTGCCGTTGGGGATGGCTGGCTGCTCCTTCGAGGAGGTCTAGCATCCCGTGGGCCTGTGGCTGGTGGGGTGGGTCCCCTGCTCTTTAAGGATGGGGATTCTTCTTGTTGGGGGGCTGGCCTAGGCTCGACTTGCCCGATGGGACTCTCTGGTTCCAGTGAGAGCTGCTTAGGGCTGGTGGCATTCTTCATGGCAGGAGGGGTATCGGGCGGAGTGTCGGGAACCAAGGCTGACATCGGTAGTGGTGGTGGTGGTGGGGAAGGGTCACCTTCTGGAGAAGGTCTTGGCTCTGGGGGGATCCTGGCTACCACAGCTGAAAGATCAACACAAGAGGAGAAAGGGTTAGCCTGTCCACGTACACTATCAGTTCATATAACAATCTCTCCATACAAGCCCAATATGTTTGAGATATTAATGACATAATGGTAAGAGGATAGCTAGGATTCCTGCCTCTGGAGAGCAAACCTCCAGCAGGGCAGACAAATGGCAGCTGAGAGCTAGTACCTTGTCCAGCAGGGCACAGCAGATACAGTTAACCTGGGTCCTCTGCAAGAACAGCTAGTGCTCTTAACCACTGAGCCACCTCTCTAGTCCGTCTTTTTTTTTTTTTTTTTTAATTACACTTATTCATTTATGTGTATGCATGCTATGGTACACATGTGAAGGTCAGAAGACAATTAGGGAGGGGTGGCTCTCTCCTTCCACTATGTGGGTCCTGGGGATGGAACTCAGGTTGTTAGGTTTGGCGGCAGGTGCCTTTAGTGGCTGAGCCACCCTAACAGCCCCTCTCTCACCTTTATGCTCTGCCTTTGCCCACAGGGTCCAATCTAAGGTCTGGTTCAGAGTATAACAGTGCTGGGCACATGGGGCCAGTCAAGAGGAAAGACATAAGCATGGTACCTGTGGGATGTGCATGTTGCTAAAGTCCTCAATGGAGTGGACAGCCAGACATATAGGTATGTGTGCTTCATAATCTTTCCCCCCCGCTCACCCTCAGATTTATTCTTTAAAGACAGGAATATTGCTGAGTGTGGTGGCACACACTTTTGATTCCAACCCTAGGGAAGCTAAGGCAGGAGGATCAGAGTGAGTTCAAGGCCAGCCTTGACTACATGAGTTTTGGGCTATATAGTGAGAGCCTCCCCACCTCTTTCTCTCTCTCTTACACACACACACACACACACACACACACACGACATGAACATTCAGCCAGGCATGGTGTTACACACATGTAATCCCAGCATTCGTGAGGCTGAGGCAAGAGGATTGCTGCAAATGTAAGGTCAACCTGGGCTACACAGTGAATTCTAGGCCAGCCTGTCTTAAGAAAAAGAGACAATCTGTTAAATACAAATGCGTATGTATGCATACGTGTGTGCATGTTATACCAAAGGATGGGTGAAAGACAGGTTTTAGTTAAGGGCCCAGTTCTAATTTTGCCAACTTAAGACAGAGAAGCAAACTGTTCAAACTCTGAGCCTCAGTTTTCCCATGTGTAATATAGGCACAATGAACCCCACTCAATAGGGATTTCAGGAAAGTGCTTGGATATTTTACTTCTGTTTCCCTGTAGACCTTGTGACCTCTCCAGATCTCCTTTTCAGGTTGAGCCCTTCCGCCATCTGCAGCTAACTTCTGGCCACTGAGCGGATTCGTGGGGACACAGCACTGACACGGGAACAAGCAGTGGCATGAGAAGCACTCCTCCCTCTTCCTGGGGGCCGCTGCCATATTAAGTCCTCTGTTCTTGGAACTCTGGTTCTCTCGGGATGTGTCAGCACCCCATCCCTGGGACAAGATGTGTGCAGGGAGGAGACATTCCTGAGGAATTGTCTTTGGGCCGCTAGATACCTTCTGAGCAGTAGGAATCTGATGGTTTGGGCTCAAAGCCAGATGATGCAAGGGTGGATCCTGGCTTCCCCACTAACTGTGACCTTGGACAGCTGCAGACTTGGTCTGTGCTCCAGCTGCTCGCCTGTAAAGTACAGATACAACCTACCTCCCAGCACTGTGGCAAGCAGCAGGTATTCCAGTCATTGATGCTATATTTTTATCCAGAGCTTCCTATGTGCAAAGCATTTTACATATCCTAGTTCTGGCCCTGTCTACAAAGGAGACATTGACCATCTCATAACAATGGAGAATGTGAAGCAGAGAGGATAGAAGGAGTGCTCTAGTCTTTTTTTTTTTTTTTTTCCATTTCAGACAGGCTCTAACTATGGTTGAGGCTGGCCTCGTGAGAAGTTAGGATCCTCTTGTTTCCTTTCCTTGAGTGCTGGGATTCCAAGTGTGTGCCACTACATCCAGCTTAGATAGAGCAACACAGCCTGGACTTGAACCCAGTATCATCAGCAAAGCCCAGGCCCTTTTCCACAGACCTCTAACATCTGTGTAGGGCAGTATAAGGGATTGGGCAAATACACTCCCAAAGATTCCCATTCTTCCCTCAATTCCTTCTCTTCTAGCTTCCTGGGCTGTGGGCCCAAGCTGAGGCCCTGTCTTTCCCAATGACCCTTTAGGCCTGCCAGGCCCAGGTTCAGTAACAGGTGATCCAACTCTCCATACCAGCTGGAGATGGCGGCCTGGTCACTGTACAGTGCAAATTCCTTAACTAACTCCATTGGGCAACAAAACTGGTGGTGCCACTAGTGAGAGTGGTTGCTATTTACTGGGGGATACAGATTCTTAACCCATTACACAGTTGAGACAAGCAAAGCCCCTCCCATCAAAGGATTTGCTCAGGATCATAAACCTAGTATTTCATGGACAGTATTTGAACCCAAGACTATCTTAGGCCAAAACCTGAGTGTGTAAGTCTCATCTTAAAGGCTGAGGCTTGTCTACTGCCCTTCCCCAAGCACCTGTGTGTACTAACAGGTATTGCAAGGAAAACTGGTGGGCAGGTGTTTGTCTACACCCAGGCAAATCACACCCACCAGGCCTGAGTCTCTTAAGTAGAACTCAACTAGGCGGATGAAGAGAGCCTGGGAGGAGTGAGGCACCAGACATCAGATACAGTCAAGTGAGATCTTCGGCTGCAAGTGGACAGGCTGGGTGGGGATCCCAGCTCTATGTGGGAACTCTGAACCTGTCAGAGCTTTTATTTCCTCACTGAGTTGTTGATACAATGGTGATCAAGGACATCATCTTTGGCCTCCTTAAGCAGCACATGTTCTGAAGAATCCATCTACTTCCCACCTCTGCCAGACCTTTCTAAGTCAGGCCTTCACCCTACTGCTCGATGATCCTGTTCTTCTCAAGGTCACCATGACCTCCTACATGCAGTAGCTGGTTATCTGTCTTGTTCTTACTCGACCTGTCAGTCATATTCAACACAGCTGACCCTGTGGTGCCTCTTGAAGCACTTGTTCACTCAGCTTTACAGACAACACACTTCCCTTCTGCTTTGCTGGCTGGGACTTGTGTCTTCTCTGCTGGCCCCTCCCTGACTTCCTAACCTCTCTCCATGCTGCTTTGTGCCCCAGGGCTGTCAGAAGCTTACCTCTTCTCTGTCCCCACACTCTCTGTGGTGATCTCATCCAGACTCACGGTTTAAAAACCATCCCTGTGCTGACAGCAACCAAATTTGTCTCAGCAGTCCAGACCTCTCCCTGGAGGACCAGTTTCACTCCTATAACTCCCTACTTGACACTCTGGATATCTCACAGTTGCTCCAAATTAAAACATACTCTAAATCCAATCACTTCACTACCTCCACTTCTATCATCTTGACCCAGCCGTGCTCCCCACCCCAATTGTTTCTCAACACAGCAGCCTGAGTGATTCTGTTAAAAAGTAAGTCAGGGGCTGGAGAGATGGCTCAGCGGTTAAGAGCACTGACTACTCTTGCAGAGGACCTGGGTTCAATTCCCAGCATCCACATGGTGGCTGCGAACCATCCTTAACTCCAGTTCCAGGGGAATCCGAAGCCCTCTTCTGACCTCCACAGCACTGCACGACATGGGTGCACTCACATACATGTAGGCAATACACTTGTACACATAAAATAAAAATAATAAATACTAAAAAAAAAAAGTAAGTCAGATCACTCCTTTGATGAAATCATTTGAACATACCTGATGTCATGTAGAGAAAAACCAAAAGTGGCCACAATGGTCTGCAAGGTTCTGTAAGAACCTCCTTCTCTCTCCAGCCTGTTGCCTCTTGGACTTCATTTCCCTCTCCCCGTCTCCCCCTCTCCCTGAGCTCAGTCCCTACATCCACTGTCCCTTATGCGCCCCCCCGCCCCACCTCAGGCTGTGCACTTGTATGGGAGATCTTTGCCCCTGATTCAGCTGGCCTCATTCCCCCACCTCCTACAGGTCTCTACTTCTCAGCAAAGCTTTCCTTAACTCCTGATTTAAAACTACAAACTGAAGGGCCAGCAACATGGCTCAGTGGGCAGGAGCTTGCTGCATAAGCCTGAGAGCCTGAGTGTTATCCCTGGATCTCATGGCATGTGATGGCCTGCACACCAGCATTCACACACGCACACAATAAAATTTAAAACTACAAACTGTAATTGGTCTCTCTCTCCTTCCAACTTTTTATTTTCCTTTCCCATTCTTTCTCCATAAGCATTAACCTTATTTTTTTGTTGTTGTTTATTTATTCATTCTGTAGTACTAGGGATTGAACTCATGGCCTCTTATGTTCTAAACTATAGCCTTGGTTTTTATTTATTTATATGTTTGTTTTAGCTTTTTTCACTGTTTGAGAAAGGGCCTCACTAAGTTGCCCAGCCTGACTCTGGACTCACCCTACTGCCCAGACAGGCCTTGAAATTTTGATCCTCCTGCCATAGCCTACTGAGTAGCTGGGATTACAGGCCTGGAACACCATGATTATTTTCTTCATTTATATTTGTCTGTTGTTTTGAGGAAAAAAAAATATTTTATTCAGAGGCTTGAAGGTAGAGCAGGGCTGAAGAAGCCAGCAGGAACTGATGTCCTTGGCAGGGTGGGATATTCTAGGCCTACTGATGGCTGAAAGCCCATTTTCTTTTTTAGACAGAGTCTGATATGTCCCCTAGGCTGGCCTCAACCTCCGGAGCTCCAGCCATCCTCTGGCCTTAGCCTCCTGAATAACTAGGATGATTTATAGGTAAGCACCACCACATTTAGTTCATGAACCCACTTTAACAATGTCTCCCACTACTAGATTGTAATCTCCATGGTGCACAATTTTTTGTCTACCTTGTTTTGTCTCTAGTTTGAACAGAGCCTGGCATATAAATGCCCCATAAATATTTGGGGAATGAAGAAATGAAGGAACCCCACTTTGGCAGATAGCATTGCCATGTCTCTTACCTGG